CTTTGTATTTATCAAACCAAGAACAAAGGACTTTCTGTAAACTCTCAAAATAAAAGTGAAATTTTTAGCTTGTGTTTCCTCGTATCTTATAGCCAGAATTGCAAGATATACATATCCTATATATATGCATATATATATATATATCTAAAGGCTAACGATTCTGAAAAGGTATGCCATTATCACAAAATATTCCATAGCAAATAATTACCAAACCAAGTAACTAACTATGACCGACGTCATAAAATTATAGTATATTTCCTAAAACATTGTAAATATACGATATATTTCTCGAATATATATATACAATATTCGATTTTTAAAAAAAATACTAATACAAAACATGCACAAAGTAACAATATCGGTAAAGAGGAATATTGGAATAAATATTTAAAATATCTATAAGGCATGATACAATATATTGACAATATTCTACACAGCCACGATATTATCCTAACATTTTTATTTGATTTAAATATTAGCCATTAATTATAACCGACTTCATACGATCCAATATATAAGACCAGTATCCTTAATATTAATATATAACATTTTTAGAGAAAGTCCGATATGGATAAAACTTGCAAACTAACAGTTTCGATAAGGATAAAGATCCAAAAAAATATTAATATGTATATATATAATACATGTTACAAAATGTATTCCGAATTTTGCATGATATAATATAATCTCGAATAGGTATCACATATATCAGCCACATAAAAAAAGTCTTAGATATTTATCTAATCAAAATTTTCGTACGCCGTATATACCGTTAGCATCTATATGGCCTCACGATAACGTGTATACCCATAAAATAAAAGTAAAGACGCCACAGCATATTCTCGAAATCGTGCATGATACAAATATCTTCAAAGTTACGTTACAAATAACATAAAGTTTATACTGAAGCCTAAACTACAGCTAACAGAATCAAATACTACAAAACCTTAACCCAAACCAAAATTCGCATGCAAGTACTCATATTAACATTTATACGTCCGAAACGATAATATTTTTACCAAGCTATTACGATGAGTCTCATCTTCCTCAGTAAAACATAATCATACAAACCAAAAATAACACATAGCCACACTGTATGCATTAGACGATAAAAATGGTTTTCGACAATGGCAAACATAATAAGACAGTAAATAAAAGTCTTGTTTATTAGATATCACAAATATAGAAACCAAAACCACAGATGACACCAGAAAAATACATAAACGCAAAACCCAACACCAGAATAATCATTATTTCGTAAGAAAAGGTCGCTCGACTAATCCCAAATCATAACAGACTTCAATGGCCCCAGCAAATGATGGATATAAAACACCATTAATCATTCTAATATCTTCAAAACACGTTGCTCATCTGACAACAACTAGCAACATCCTGAGAAAATAGATCTCACCACTTTCTGGCCTCACAAAGGGAAGTACTACGCCACTTCTCCTAGACCTACAACGACGCCGCGGTAGCCATTTTCTAATGTTCTTATGCCAAACGAACCAAATCGGGAATTCAATACACAAAAGATGCCTCGACTCAGGATGGTGTTTGTTGTACTCCATCCAACCCTGAAATTGAGACGTTTGAAAATAATATCCAGGAGCAGGTGGTGTAAAATCTTCTGAGAAAATGTTATCCTGGTTTCTTGGTAGATGGAAAGGCAAGATAGTCATCCGAGTATGCTGACTGTATAAAAGAAACAAAATTTAGATGCACAAAGAAACCAATATGGTAGAGCAAAAGTAGATTTATACAATCAAAACGAAAAAGACAAAGCAGTAAACAACATCATCAGGAAAACAACACAATAAACAAATAAAAACTCTATTTTATGACAAAGCATTAGTTGTAATCAGCATATGATGAATCGAAACGGTAAAAACATAAGAAGCAATACCTTTGATGCAAACCGAACTCACGACCACCAACAGATATAAGCCTTGAAGTTCTATCACCAAAACAAAACGATGAAACCTAAACAGCTTTACTCTCTTGCAAGTTACCTACGGAACAACGAAAAACAAAGAACAGGAAATCAGAACGTAAGAAACAAAACATAATGCATAAAACAAAAACTAAGCCCTAAACTATGACCTACACGACAGTAATCAACAAATAAACCTAAGCAATCGTCTAGATGAATGGGATATATGCGAGTATATATAGCTATGAAAAATCTAGGGTTTTTGTTTTGTAATATAATTTTGAGAGGCCGTCAAGTTTTTCAAATGGTCCACTGGATGCTAATTTCAAAAAGCCCAACAAAAAATCATATGAGAAACGGTTTAAAGATTAGATTACTATACCAATCGATTTATCAATAAGAACCAAACCAAACCAATCGACTTAATTTAACTCGGAATATTTTCACTAAGGGCAGAAGGCGCTAACCCCCTTAAGAAGAGTTGTGGTGCGTTTCTGACTTTGCAAATAATAATATCGATTCTATTTTTTTATCTCAAAATAGAACAATTGTAAAATAAAATTGTATTTCTCTCCAATGTATGATTTTATTTTCTATTCTATTTCTTTATTCTGTTTTATTATTAATTGCTAATTGATCCATAGTTTCTTCAAAATTTACAGATTGAATCAATAAATTTTTTCAAATTTTTTATAAATTATACCAAACTTTAAATTTAATTATTTTAATATAAAAAACCACATTACACTATATCAAAATGATAAAACAAACTTTAAATTTAATTATTTTTGTTTTAATTTTAGTGTTTAAATATCTATAATTAATTAACAAAAAGAAATTATCAATAAAAATTAATTTATTAGTTTTAAAGTACAACTATTTAAAACATGAAGGATTGATTTATAAATAAAAAAGTTCAATTTTATAATAGAATTGAGAATGAGATGGTTCCAAATTTGGAAAAAAAAATAGCATTATTCTATTTTAGAAACAAAAATAGAATAGGGTTGGAGCTAAATATAGTAAAATAGAATATAACACTAGATTTAGAATGGGAATGGAGATGCTCTTAGAGCATCTCCAACCCTACTTTATTTTCAACTTGCTATTTTGGAGTAAAATCCTCTCTAGTCCTACTCTATTTTCAACTCTAAAATGGAGTAAATATAAATTATACTCTATATTTGGAGTAGATCTAAACTCTACTCCATTTTGGAGTTAGACTTTTTTATTTGCAAATTGATCCTTTAGATTTAAAATAATTATATTTTATATTATTTAATATTTATAAAACATATTAAAAACTGATAATTATGAATATTTAAACACTGTAATTAATTCTAAAAAATTACAAAATATAATAAACTTTAAAATACATAATAAGTGCTGAAATTAAGATAAACAATGTATATAAATTGAAGTAATAGTAATGTTTAAATAAAAATTGCAAATGCTTTTTGTGATGTTATGTAATTTTTGTTATTTGATAAATATTTAAGTTATAGTTTTTGAAAGAAATTATAAATAATAAAATAAGTGAGATTTATTTGTAAATTTTAAAACTAAAAAGTATTTATAATAAAATCGAATAAGAATCTATATAGAATATTCTTTTTCAGAGTAAAAAATAAAAAAAAAATTGGAGCAAAACATAATTCCATTTTAAAGTTATTTTGTTTTTGGAATAGAAAAATTTTGGAGTTACTATTTTGAAATAGAAAATAAAGAAATACATTGGACATGGTCGAGCACACCCTCATTTTTACTTCGTTAGTTTTGACTTCAATCTCGAGCACTCTCTACTTTTGCTTCTTCAGCTACCTTCGACTTTGCTCCAGGTTTGCATCGAATTCATCTTTTATCTCTCCTCCCTTGTGATATCAGATGTGACTTTTTGTTATATCTAAATTTTTCTGATTAATTATTGGGTTTTTGCTTTGTATATTGGTTTTGATTCGAGATTTTTTTTTCTATAGTTATAGCTCGAAAGTTTCAAAATTTCTTCGATTTATAATCTGCCGATAGTTACCGATGCCTTTAGATCGCGTTTAGCTTTACCATGATTTTAGAATCTTTGTTTTTTTTTCTCTATTAGATTCTGAGATGATAATGACGAATATTTATTTTAGGATCTACCCAGCTTGAGAAATCCGTAGATTCGTGGATTTACAGTGATAAATTATTCAACTTATTTTTATTCAACTCTTTGTTATTACTCTCATTCTACTCATTTCTTTTATTTGTAACCATTTGCATCCATTATTTCGTTTTTTTTTAACTTTCCTTCATAAATTACCTCATCTATTATATGATGAAATAATGGTGAAAATATATTTTATTTTTTTATTCGTTAGAAGACAGAACATGAAAACAAAAAAAACAGGAACAGTGCCTGAATCATTTTTTCTCATTAATTGTTTCTTTAAAAAAATATATAATTTTAGAAAAAAAAAACTTTTTTAAAATAGCATATTAAATTATAAGCGAGGGAGTGTACATATTAATTTAAATAACATATTTATACTTAAAACTTTTAAAATTATATTGTTGTATACTTTAAATAAAAAAGTATATTTATTATAAATAAATTTAAAATATATAATAATTGTATACCATTATAAATAAATCCAAAATATATAATAATATACAAACCTGCGTGTACACGCGAGGTATTACCTAGTATTAGTTTAAGATCCACGTATACAGGTGTAAGAATTATGAGTTGAAATTTGACTAACACAAATATTTGAATTCTGATTGGTTTAAACCGGGACACACTAGTTTTGGATTTTGATTGATAACTCTTTCTAAAACCGAATTTGATCAATCACTACATCTCGTAATGCATCACATCCTCTTCCATTAAACATCATACTAAAAATCAAAACAGTTTTTGAAAAGAATATTGAACTTTTGAGTTTGTTTGGCTTATCGTCCGTAATCTAATATAACCATGAGTACATTAGAGCATCCACAATAGAGAATACCATATTGGGCAATGCGCAATGTCATTTCTTGCAGACTCACGGAAACATATTTGAGAGAGAAAAGAAAAAAAAAAGGTTTAGTGGACTTGAGGTAACCTGCAGTTGAAGAAGCCTCTATGCGCCGACAAACCAGATGGATGAGTTGCTGTGAGTATATGATGTTTATTCCCATCTATCAACCTGCAATAATCATATGGATGCTTGCAGTCTCATACATGATAAACATTCAGCCGCATTCATAAAACATCAGACGTACTTAGATTTCTCTTGAGCGTATCTTCCGCAGAGAAGAAACACCACACCTTCCTTCTGTTGTGATCAGTGAATTGTTCCCATCCTTTCTTTGCATGTGAATTCGGCTGTTTACTCCTTACTGAAATACAAGCCAAGATAACCCCGCATATTTGTGAGAAGAACTGACAGTTTTTTACACATACAAGGTCATTACGCAAATAACAGACATTACTTGTTAGAACAGCATTCCGCAGCAATACACCCTTAAAAAGAATTTCAAAAAGTTGAATTGCTTGATCTTCTCCAATTAAACTGAGAGTTTGATATAACAAACAGCTAGAGAGATGATAAAGAAATTCTATTTACCTGCACAGCCCATTTCTGTAGATTACCATGACGTAGGATTGAACAGCCAACATCTCTCTGAAGCTCCTTGAATATGTTCAACAGGCTAGAAGGAAGCTTCTTTCCTTCAGGCACGGAGAAGGACAAACCCATTACTTGACCAGGTCCATGGTAAGGGTCCTAATCGAACAGAGAGAAAACTTGTTAAAGCATAAAAGGAATCCAGAAACTCCTCATAGAAACCAATGCTCGTTCCAAATTCTGTACCTGACCGATAATGGCAGCCTTTACTCGATCAAAAGGAGTTGTGTTCAGGGCATTGAAAATCAAGTGCTGCGGCGGATAAATCGGAGGGCCTTAAGTCAGCGATGATCTCATGTTCTAGGAACTCAGAAAGAGTTTTAGCGTAGGGTTTATCCAATTCTTCAGGAAGAGCTATAAGCCATGATTCTTCCATTAAGAGCTCACTCAATGGTATGTAGCAGTTTCCATCCCAAAATCAATCAAACATAGTTAAAACCTAAGAAAATTCTCGTTACCCAGATTACGGATACTCTTGAAGAGACTCTAAATGAAGTAATGGTAGACACATAATGACAACAAATCAACTAAAGGATAAACCTTTTGCTTTTGTGACCTTTTTGGAGCAGATGGCGAGGTTACGCTTGGACTTGCCAGCGAACTTATTGAACTCGGAGTGAGAGACTTGGTCGGCTGTGATGAAGAAGAACAAATCTATACTATCATTTTTTTAAACTAACCTTTGTCTACTGTGTTATTTACAGCAATTTCCATTAATGAATTAATATAAGTATTATGTATAAACTATATAAATGGTACTAACTGTTATGAAATATTATGTGATGTCCATTATAAGCTCATTTTCTAGAAGATTCTAAAATTACTTGTAAACTAGGTTTTACTTTGTCACCAAGTAAAATACTCTCTTTGTACTCCTATATAAATGATCACCTACTCATTGGAATAATACAACATTAATTCCTTCTTTTTCTTCTCTCTATTCACAACACATTATCAGCACGAAACTCTACTTGTCTGAGCTAAGAGGTATACAAATCTGCTTCTTAGTATTTCTTCATTCCAACTTCAAATCATGTTTATTATCAACTCATGATTGGTAAGAATGGATCATTAATCAATATTATGATATTCTCCTGCAGAGATTCAAATCATATGTTTATGTAATTAATTTTTTTTAAAGATCAATATTATGATAAATTCTCTTGAAGAGATTTATATGATCAATATTATGATGAATTCTCTTGTACAGATTCAATTTACTTGCTTACTTTATTATATTTATGATTGATATTATGATAAATTCTCCTGCAGAGATTTAAATCATATAATTATTTTATTATTATTATTTTTATAAATGGTATTATGATAAATTCTCCAGTAGAGATTCAAATCACATGTTTATACTAATATATTTTTGCATGATATTTAAAAATATGTCTTTATTCATATTTCTGCACATGATTTGCATATCAAATTTGTTTTTCGTTTCGGCACATAATTTGCATGTAATATATTAAACTGAAAATTGTTCATTAAAACCATATAATTGCTTATAATTTCTGCATATGATTTGCACAAAATTTGTTAAACTGAATCTTATTCATTAAAATCGAATATTTTCTCATATTGTTTCTGCACAAATTCATTAAATCAAATATTTTCTATATTGTTTTTGCAAAGAATCGTATTTACACGGATTTGCGCGGATGTGTTTTATTATGTTATTATTCATAACTATATTTTTTTTTAAAAAAAAAAATCGGCACTAGTTTCGGTTTTTGAATATTGTTAACCCGGAGTTTGCACATATATAATTATCTGAATTTTGCATTGACAGTTTATCTTGAATTCGTTAGAATTTACACGAGTTTTGCACATCTTTTATTATCTAATCTCTTTTGATGATTTATTGATTGAGTTATTTTATGGCATATTATCTTTATTTAAATTATATATATAAGTTTTGTGATAAAACAAAAAGTTTTGAGATAAGATAGATGTTCATGTATCACACAATCATCTTTTTGAATGCTTAACATTAGTATAATTCACATGTTTATTTTCATATATCATTCTGGAAGGTGGTACAGTGTATATTTTTCTGTCATCATATCTTTGATGAGCTTAAGATTAAATATTTGATTATAGAACAATCTAAAGAAAAAGCATATCACCAGAATGTGATATGACCTAATTTATTATAGATGATTGCATCTAAGACCACATGACTTGAAGTCTCAAATGAAGATAATATAAGTGATACAAAGATGCTAGAAAACATTACATAAATATTGTTGTCCTGCAGACACAATAACATTAAAGATATTTTTAGAAGTATTTTAAAATTTTTTATTTTCTTTTAAGCTTCTTTTAAAAATTCAAATTGTCACTTGAAGTGATAATAGAGATGGTACATGCCACTGATTTAGTTGGTTTAATATGCTTTTGTTTATACATATGTAGTTATATAATAGTTATTTTTCTACCATTATTTATATGAATATTTTAAATTTGCTTATAAAAGATCCCTAAGTTCTTTATATAAATCTAAGGAAAAGTATGATCACTATACTGTGATATTACCTCAAGCTCATTATGAGTCTTTACATCTTAGATTATAAGACTTGAAGTCTGTAAATAATTCTTATTATGTTGAAGATTATGTGAAGATAATATCACTAATCTAGAGATGCTAGAAGACATACTCTAATCCTTAGACAAATAATATTGCCTTGTAGACAATATGAAATGAAGTTAAAGAACTATTTTGAAATGATAAATGAGTTATTGATAAAAAGTCATGAATTATATCTAATTAGTTATGATTCATTCCTTGAAGAGAATGTGACATTATATAATGGGATAGAAAAAAATCACGTTAATAAAAAATTAGTCAAGGAACTGGCTCAAAAAGTGGTTATGAATGTGAATATGAAATGGATATGATCAAGGTCTAGATCAAAAGTTTTATTTCAAGAACTCAAATTCTTACAAGAAGTGAGAAAATAAAGATGGTATAAACAAGAGGTATTTCTCTTGTCAGAGGTATTTCTCTTGTCTAAAGATGAAATAAACAATTGTGAGTACAAGATCTGGTAATATATGGATTATTGAAAGCTCCAGAAGAGTAGATATACTTGCCAGTAGGAATGTAATTATTGATGCATTATATCTCCCAAGTCTCAAAAGTTTAAAGAATCAAAGATATAAGACATGATCCAAGTTGGATATGTTATTGATTTTAGATTGGGATTCAATTCAAAATAGATGAACCTGAAGTGTCATCATCTTGAGGGGGAGAATTGATGAATCCCACAATACATAGTAAGTAAAACATCTAGAAGATTATGTTCAAAGTCAAAATGATCTTGATGAATCATTTATAAGGTAATTTTAATAGATTTCAAAGTTAATCAAGTTAAGACAATCAAGAAGGAAAATTTGAATACCTTCAAATCTAGAGTATTACTAAATGCAGTAAAAGTATTTTAGAGAAATTACATACACTCTCTAATAGATTGTAATATATAAAGATTGTATAATGGAGATAAATGTTATATAGTAAACCAGAAGTTTAAGGAATATAACATAGTTTGGCATGAGCTGGTTAGACCATTCCAGTTCAAGAAATATGCAGAAATAATTAACAGGTCTATAGACATTCATTGAAAAACTTGAAGATTCTTCCTAATGATTTAATCATATGACAAATATGATATTATGATTTTCACTAGCCAAAATAGATTTCAAATCTATATCATTTCCTAGAAAGTTTACAAGGAAAAGTTTGTGGTTAAGTAATTTATTATATTGAATATCTGCAACTTAAAGTTTGCTAGACCCCTTGGCAATGTTAGTGAATTCACGTCTTAAGCCTTTGATGATAAAATCATAAAGATAAATATTGAAAATCCAATAGCAAATATTCATACACAAAATCCAGAAGTATTAATTCGCATAAATCCAACAAGTAATCATAGCTCTCCCATCAAATCTTGTTTTCGGTCAGAAACCAAATAGTTTCCATCTAGAAGATTTAGATGTGCAGTATATATCCACATTGCTCCACCACAACGTTATAAGATGGATCCTCAAATGAGGTTGAGAATATATGTTGGATATAAATCTCCATTGATAAATAAGTATGTAGAGTCCATCCATGAAGGATTTATATTAGGCTCGATTTGTAGACTATCATTTTAATATGTCAGTAATTCCAACATCTGGGGGAGAAAAGAAACAGCTGGAAAAGATAAGTTGGAATGAACTATCATTGATCCTCGGACTAAAGAATGTGAATGAAAGTCCAAAAGATAATTCAATTACAACGTTTAATAAATCAGTTGCCAAAAACATTTACTGATCAAAATAGAGTGACAAGATCACATACCAGCTATAAAGGCTCCAGTAAAATTTAATGTTCCAGAAGGACAATATCAAGCTGCTAAATAGTCTAAAGAACGCATGAAGTATGATAGACTTATTGGTTCCAAACATAAATATTCTTAGAAAAGAAAAAGGAGCAGAATTTGACAATGGTCAGACTGAGGAGATAGATTTTGAATGATCTCAAGAAGAGACATTTAATATGACAAGAAAGAAAGTCAGGTACCTGAGACAATAAAGAGATTGATCTCAATAAATTATGTCATGTGTAGAATAAAATGGAACCAAAAAGCAAATCGACGTCGTAAATATTTTTGCATGCAGTGTAGCAGTTGATATGATACATGAGAAAGAGGATCATGAAATCTATTGCAAAGTGTACACAAAGAAATGATTGGCCAAATTATAAAGAAGCAATAGTCATAGAGTTAAAATCTCTTGAAAAGAGATGAGCATTTGGAACAGTTGTCCATACATCTAATGGTGTAAAACCAGTGGGATATAAAAAAGACTTTATATGAAAGAATGATAAATGTAAAATTAAATATAAAGAGACAAACTCTTATGTGGTGGATGCAACTACTTTCAAGTTCCTCAGTCTGGCAATAAGAGAAGAACTTGGCTTATACTACCCACTGGATAATGATACTTAAATAAAAATCCCAGAAGGATACAAATTCCCAAAGGATTAAGATTGTCAAAATTATGTTCCTGAAGATTCTAATTATTCGATCGAATTAAGACAAAAACATTTAATGTGGTATAAGTATTATAAGGTTAACCAATATACCCATATATATTTACCAAAAGATTATGGATCAAGAGGATCCTAGATTTGAATATAATCAAATCTTTTGAAGAGTTATCTCAAATTGTAATTTGGAAGAAAAATCTTTGGAAAAGATGACATTTTCTTCAAGTGTTCCAAATTGAGATATTTAAGTGATAGAGATACTATCTCAAATGATCCTTGAAGGATTTTACATAAAGAATGCTCACAATATTTTTGATCCTAAGAACAATACCTAAAATTGCTAGTTGAGAAATGTATTTGTATATTTCATGATTGAAAGATATGATTTAGTATAACAAGAAAGAAAGCTAAAATAGTAAAGAATAGCATGAATAACATCTTATATATAAGTATGTTTCTATACAAGTATAAAATATTTTAAGTAAAATAAAGTTTGGACTTGAAGTTCAAAAGACCAAGAAATGGATTACCTAAGAGATTATAAGATAATCATATGAGTTTATTCATTAAGCTTATACTTATAATGATTGCCAAAAGATGATATATATGATTGGAATGCATCTCCTGAAGAAGATACTTCCAAGGGGGAGAAATATGATGATGTGTGTGGTTGTACTCTTTTTCTTTATCATGGTTTTTATCCATTTGGATTTTTTCATGAAAGGTTTTAATGAGGCAACAAAGAACATGCAAATGATAGACATCTAAAAGAAAAATTTAAAGATGAAATTCTATCACCCCTCCAAAGTATTTGTCATACTTTAATAAGATCAATAAAGCAAAGAGAATGAACTAGACGAATCATTAACAAGAGTCATGCAATGCAGAAGAATGGCGATGTACGTATCCTACAAATTCATTCAAGTGAAGCTTCGAGAGACAAATTTACCAAGGTGTTACTTTCAAGGAGTTATTTTTTCATACTGAATTGCGTCATTTCAAAGATCTCAAGTGATGTAGTCATGAGGGAGAGTTAATGCGCGCTGCACTCTTTTTCCCTTAGCTATGGTTTTTTTCACTGGGTTTTCCTAGCAAGGTTTTTAACGAGGCAGCATCATACGCGTTTTAGAGAATAGTTTGTATAATAAACATCAAGGGGGAGTGTTGTGAAATATTATGTGATGTCCATTATAAGCCCATAAGCTCATCTTCTAGAAAATTCTAGAATTACTTGTAAACTAGGTTTTACTTGGTCGCCAAGTAAAACTCTCTCTTTGTACTCCTATATAAATGATCACCTACTCATTGGAATAATACAACATCAATTCTTTCTTTTTCTTCTCTTTATTCACAACACTAACTATATACTAACTATATATTTGTAACTATCTAAATTGTTTAAAGAGAATCATTCTTAATAAATGTCCAACTCATACCATGATATTTACAAGTCCTGTCATTATATTTACTAGAAAATTTCATAATTTCATTAAAGGTATTAGTGAGTGTTATTGGTTTTGATATTTAGAAAGAGTTATAAGGATTTAGATTTTAAGAAGATTATGGTGTTATTCAATTAAGACTTTTCAAAACTATTTAAAAGTCTGGTGTTATTAGTTTATGAATTTGTAATAAGTAGTTTAAAATCTTTAAAAGTTTAATGTTATTGGATTCATGATTTTATAAAGTTAATAAAAGTTTTGTGTTATTCAAAAAACTTGAAATACTCTTGTCTTGTCATTATTTTAAAATCTGGTGTTATTGGTTTATCGACTTCACATATTTTTCTTTATAAAATCTACTTAACAAAGTATTGTATGTTGATCAAGTATTCTCAAAGTTTGTCTGCGTACAAAAAAAAAAAAAGAGAATGAGTACAAACACCACGTAACCTAATATGAACACAAACTTCACAATCTCTGAATTATAACACATGTCTTACGACAAAAGCAATTATCTTCAGAATTTATCTTATAAAGTTAGATGTTCAATGCAGAAAAACAATCAACAAATAAACGATGATCAAACAAAATTACTGTTTCATAAATCGTAAAAACAAATCTCATAATCTTCATCGTAGACTTCCTGTTTGTGTAGCTTCTGCCCACATATTAGCAGCTATTGAGTCTCTCCATTTATTAGCATATTCTCTTTGCTGAGATTGGAGAGTTCCTACATCTCCATTTTCTTCATAGAAAGCTCCTGCATTTCCATTTTCTTCTGAATTTCTTTCTTGACTATCCTCATTGCTTGTTTCAGGAGGAAACTCATCAGATCGATAATGTTTACGAAGAAAGTTATGTAATCCAGCACAAGCTAATACAAGCTCCGCTTGTACTTTGAAAGGAAATGGTGGTGCAGATTTAAAAATCAGAAAACGGGATTTGAAGATACCAAATATTCGCTCCACTGCATTTCTCAAAGATGCATGACGCAAGTTGAACAACTCATTTTGGTTAGTAGGATCACGACCCTGTCCTTTAAAGTCTTGCAGGTGATAATTTGTACCTCTAAACGGAGCTAAAAAGTTACGACGATTTGCGAATCCACAGTCAACTAGATAGAATTTTCCTGAAAATCATACATGATACAAAGATATCAGTAGTTTGATTTAAAAAAGAACAACAAAAAAAAATTATAGGAAATGCATAACCGTATATATACCTTCCGGAACTGGTAGTTTGTTAGTACTCCGGGTTAGAGCATCACTTAATACTTTTGAATCGTGAGCTGTACCTTCCCATCCACTAAGAACGTATATAAATTCGAGATCAAAGTTACAAGCAGCCAAAACATTTTGTGAAATTTGTCCCTTCCTATTACGGTAGCTAGATGCCTCAGAAGAAGGTACAATTGCATTAATGTGTGTGCCGTCAATTGCGCCAACACAATCCTAAAAAGAGAATAATTAGTTATCTTGTACCATATTTAAAGTAATACAATTTGAAGATACACTACCTTGAAATAAGGATAATATCGTGTGCTTTCTCTTATTTTTGCAGGTACTGTGAGTCCAGGTTTAGCCATCAAACTTGGTGCAATAGAGTTTAACGCCCTTAAAACCTTGTGAAAATTTGTATTTGCAGCAAATTTTGATCTCTTGAATGTGTCCATTGTGTAAGAGTATCTTGAATTTTGACCAATAGTGAGCAAAAATGTAGCCACCATTTCTTCAAGACACATATGCCGAGTATCAGTTAGAGATGTTTGCTGTTTGAGAAGTTCACACAACTTCACAAACACGGTTGGATACATACGGTACACTTTTCGAAAGTGTTCTGGATCTTCCTTAAGAGCTTTTTGGATGTAAATGTAACCAGTTCTTGTGATAGGCTGACGAAGGGGACGCTCAATATGTTTGTTCTTCATGACATAAGTTCTGGTTGTATTTCCCAATACAAATAACATAATATCCATTTCTGCTTCGTCATCCTCAAGATAAAGTTCCTCATCTCCCACATTACACTGCTCCATGATAAGGAAAAAATAGTACCTGCAGTGAGAATACAATAGGTTAAATAATAGAAATGAAAGTATTCATATACTCATAAATATGTACTAAAAAAGAAAATAGAAGAAATGTAGTATGTCACAATTGAAGTATGCATGAAAAAAAAAGAGCAAGCTTGAATAAAGCATGAAAAAAAAAATCCATTAAAATTTCTCAAAAGAAAAGATAGTCTCCCCAAACACAAACTAAAACTAAAAAAACATGAAACATTCGAAGACATCAAAACCAAAAAGAAAAAAAAAACAGAAACTAAAAACTTAAAACCATCAACATAATCATGTAGAGCCAACATTGTTTTGGATCCAACCGAAACGTTCTTCTATTGTCATGTCTTTGAAGATATTTTTCATTCCTAGTGAATGAATCAAGGTAATAGCTTTGTAGCGGGTATGATTATCTAAATTAGGAATCTCTTTCATGGCTTCCCATATATTGTCTTTCTTTCTCTCAGCTTCTTTTTCTTCAGCTTCTCGTTTTAACTTTTCTTCTCTTTTTTCAGCTTCTCTTTGTTGTCTTTCTTCTCTTTGTTGTATGACACTAAGGATCTTGTTGCTAACTATGATCATAGCATCGTCCTGATCAATTTTCAGCTTATCTACATCATTAGTAGCTTCCCTTTTAGACCTCTTTCTCGGATGAAGTTTTTCAGCACGACCTTTGAAACCTGGAACTGGAAAAGATGGCATATCACATTCGGTTGATTGCTGTTGAGATGATAATTCAAAAACTTCATCGGTGCTCTGATGAAGGTTTATGTTTTCTTTCACTTGATTACTCTCTCCAACCCTAAAGGTACGAGCATCAGTAGTATCACCCAGTCCAATAGCAAAACCACCAGTCGCTACACCACATCCAAATATGAGTTGCAAATCCTCAAATTGTTCAACCGAATCATACCGCAGATGTTTATGAGAAGGATGTTTCTGTAGATCAACAAAAAAAATGTTTTACTTAAAAGATATATTGAAAATTTATGGAATGATGTTCAAATTTTTGTAATCAAATACATACCTTTAAATATTCATCCCACACTTCATCTGGAGCAGTAAACTTTTTCGTTTCAGGATCCCATCCAAATCCTGAATTGAAGCGTTGAAGATCCACATAGTTTTGGTATATGGTTCTCAAATACTTTATTCTACTTAGATAGTGCTTGTGTTCTTTCTGACATCCAAGATTTTCATTGAGTACAGGTAAAATTTTTTGCTCCACCGTGAGTTTGGTTATTAAACCATTACTATCACGCCAGTTTCTGTGAATTGCATCTACAAGTAGATCGATCAATAATTTTGTTTCCTCAGGTCCCCATTGATTATACTGACCTTTTTCTTTATTTTTTCGTGAATCTGCCATAGCTAATTATACAAGTGTAAATCATCATTCAATCAATAAGAATTTTTTTATAAAAAATAACGTAAGAAATAAAAAACCAAACCAAACTACACAGTCAAACAAACAGATAATATATAAATACATAAACATAATTTGGAAGAAAAAAATAGATAGTTTAGTATGTGTACCTTAAGTTTTGAAACGATGATGAACAAACTTAAATTTTGAGATAATTTATAGAAGATAAAAAGTAAAAAAAGAAATAATATAGTAGATAATAACAAATATAAACAAATAAATATTTTGCAATACTTAAAGATAAACTCTACAAAAGTTGTTGATTATCTTCTAGTTAAAAATTTTATAATAATCTACAAAACTTTTTTATAAATTCTAAACTCTTTTAAAGTTCATTAAAGTCTTTAGTTTTAAATGTCATCAAAACTCTTTACAAATATACAAACCAATAACAGCCCCTTAGAGTCTTATTATAATTTCAATTACACATTTTTTGTTCTAATAATTACACACTTAAACACTATAGTTTATATACACTAACCATACTTGATTAATTTGGATCAACGCTCTGATTATCACTAAGTTCAATTAGTTTATCTCGATTGAGGAAACTCAATTTTGAAACATTAGGCGCTTAAGGATCTTAACATATAAAAATAATTAAATATACAAAATAATTAAACGTTGGGCAAATCCCTAGTTCCACACTCTAAGTATAGTTGTTGACACTAAATTGTGAAGTTATTGTTTGACGAAGATCTCTCACGTGACCTTTTCAAACGGGATTGCTCCAGCACAATTAGGTGGCTTTTGGTTAGCTACGCTAGGGTTTAATAATTGTGAGCTACTGTTTCGCCTATCTTGAAAGATTCTTCATCGTTAACACAATCTGGTTTTAAAAAAATTGTTTGTTTCTGGTTTAATATGACATAACTTTAGCAAAACAAAAATGAAGAGAATCTTTGTTGAGTATAACTGAGGAATAGGTTAGAGTTGTGTTCGATTGATTGATTTGGGTGATATTTAGAAGATATTTTTTTCTTGGAATTTTAAAAAGCTAATGAATTACGATGAAGAAGAAGAAGGAAGATGGGTCAAATTGTTTTACGAGTGATATGTTTTGGGTCGGATTTTGTTAAAATTAGATTTGATTCGGTTGATGATTTGGTTCGATTAGTTTATTGAGTGTAATAATAACCAAAATTTCAAAATCGAAGTACATATAAAAATATTAAACCAATTCATAAACCGAATTAAACTATAACTAATTATATTGCAAATCTTAGTTACCTAATTATAGTTTTGGAATATATTATTATTCAATTACAATAACTAATAAAATTTTAAAAACTAAACAAAGATAATGTAAGATATGTACAAAATCGTTTTAAAAAAATTGTGATAGCATATCTTCACATAATACAGAATAAACATGTATATATATTCTGGAATGCAAATATTAGCTTTTGAATTTGCATGTATTTACTTCGAAACATACATTATTGTTTATTGAGAAAAATATATTATATATTGTTAATTTGCGTGTTCTCGCATGTGCTTAGTACGGGTTTGCGGAATGCGTGTAACACAATTGTGCAAATTATATGGGTTTTACATATTTTAGCAGAAAAATATAGTCATATGGGAAAATACGGGTTTGTAGGTTAGAAACTCTATTTTGCAGGTTTGGCAGAAACACATAATTTTAGAAATTTTGTCGTAAAACATAATTTTACAGATTTTACAATTTTACAGAAAACACAGATTTGTGGATTTGGCGGGAAACCTGATTTTGTGGGTTTTACAAGATTTACATATTTTGGCGGGTTTTATAGGATTTGATGGTAAAATATAGTTTTATGGATTTTATTGAAAGTGTAGATTTGCGGGTTTGACGAGAAACACAATTTTGCAGGTTTGACAAAACACGTGATTTTAGAAATTCGGCCATAGAATACGGTTTTATGGTGTTGGGAAAAAACATAATTTTTGGTTTTGTTAAACAATATGAATTTGCAGTTTTGGCAGGAAAATACGGTTTGACGGAAAATACTATTTTTACAGTTTCTATGGAAATTTTCGGTTTTAGTACAACAATGTGATTTTACGATTTTACAGGAAAATGTAATTTTTTATTTCGATAGAAAACTCTGATTTTATGATTTTGACAAAAGAAAATCTTTGATTTTGTGGTTTAAATTAAATGGTGTTTTGGTCTTTTAATTTTTGAGATTCAAATACTGCATTCAAACTCATTTTTTAACATTTTAAATTTTCAATATTTTTTAATATTATAGATTTTGCATCGAGATACAACAACCATATACTGATTTAAAAATATTTTTAAAAAATAATATTTAAGCATTTGCATTATTTGGATGCAAAAACAAACAAGTCTAAGTAAATATTGAAATTTTAATTAGAAACAAATTAAATCTCTACTACAATATTATAAAACATAATATTTTGAAATATTTGTTATAAAACTTAACAGAAAATCTGCTAATCAAAATATATATTTTATAAATTCAAGCCTAAATAATTCTAAGAACATAAAACCATAATGTAAAAATAGTTTATATAATCTAATAAAAAAATTTCGTTCGGGCCATAATTTTGAATTTAATAATATAAGCTGATCTTTTTTGAACAAAAGTTTAATATAAACTAATTTTTGTTGTAACATAAAAACAATATTTTATGAAAAGAAACCCGTGCAAGTGCGCAGTGAAAAAGCAAGAACTTTTAGAAATAGTATTTAACACAGAGATTCCTCAAACAATTTCTCAATTAGATTTCACTCAAGGTAACTTACAAGAAACCAATCTTTAGAGAACTTACAAGTATCTCTCAAAGAAAATCTAATCTCCCCAATTTGAATTTCCTTACAAGAAAACCCAAAAACCCTTTTAGCTTTAAAAAACTCAAATTCTTAATCTCTAATTTTCTAAAGAAGTCATCGACATCTATTTATAACCATAGACTCATTGACTTTTACATTTTTCTAATCGTAAGATAAGAACAATTTCCTTTTGTTATTATCTTGTGATTTCCTTTTCTTGTTGATTTTTCTTTTTTTCTTTTTCTTTTAAGCTTACAACCTTTGATCCTTCTAACTGATTTCCTTTTCTCTTGCAGGTTTCAGCTTCACATCTCTTTGGCAAAATATTGCATCTTCAATCTCCCTCTTTTAAACTCATTTTGAGTCTTCCAAGCCTCATGAAGAAAATAATTTTTCTTGAACTCTAAATATTCTGAAGCTACTCTAAATATTCTGAAGCTCCCCCTTAATGCTGAAATCTCCAAACCAGAAGCTCCCCCTTAAAGCTGAAATCTCCAAACACCAGATCCCTTAAGACTTCCATTTCTCCCCCCTAATGCATAAATGAGTTAAAAACTTTTCTCAATCCCATGAACGTGTCTTTTGTAATTAAAACCGTCATTTCTCCTCTCTTTGTAACATGACTTTGATCTTTTGATTGGGCCCAAAAAGATTATGTCTGAGGCCCACAACTGATTGAGTATGACTTATTGTTGATCTTGATTGGGCCAAAATTCGAGTGAAGCCCATATATGACAATCTCCAACTGGCCCATTAATTTTTCTCTTCTTCTCCTTCACGACACTTTTTCTTGTATAGCCGATACAATCTCTTCCTCTTTTCTCAGTCTGAATAAACCAAACACCCAAATTCAGATCAACATCACGGTGGATCCCGGTGAGACTTCTTTCGCCGCTGAACAGAGCCGCATTCTCCTTCAGCTCCGACGCCTATAAAGAATTTTTGAGACGATCTCATTTGTTGTCAAACGGGTTTATAAGCAACACCACCTCCATTAATTCCGACCATCGTAAAACTCTCCGGCCACTCCACCATGGGCTCAAGGTGAGTGAGATTCACAAATCTCTTCCAAGCTTTCTTTCCCAATATAGAATTCTGATGCATAATTCTCTGATCAGTTTCAAACCATGTCACCAGAATTTTTGCAGTTTCCGGCAAAATTCTTCATCGCAAATTCTCACTGAAGTTAGAATTGTCACCCTACATTACTGAAGTCGTCGAGCCCTAAATCGTGAAACCCCTTTCACCGCCGCAGCCTTCGGCATCTTCTCTGATAAACCACCATGCCTCTTCTGATCTTTTGGTGAATTCAGGTAACCCTTTGTGACTTGAATCATCTCCGAATGAACAAAACATCTCAGGATCTGAAGAATTTATGATCAGCTTCACCTGAGTAGCTGCATTCTTCTTTTCTTAGAGCTGAATTCGTTTTTCCTGAGACCCCTTTTTTTAATTTGACATCACCTTCTTTTGAAACAGGCTAGCTTTGTCTCCCCTGAAACAAGGTGATGGCTGTCTCCGGGATTGAACTCGCCCAGATTATTGAGCAACAGTTTCTTCTACATTCACGACATTAGGAGGAACAAATTCCACAAATGAATCAAAGTCACATCAGGTCAGATTCTCCAATTTTGGACCTTGTGTTTCCATCGTTGCTCTAAGACTGTTCTTCCTCGACACATAAAATCAACCCAAAACAAACCAGCATTTAACCATTCTTTGCAAACCAGAATCGTAAACAACTTTCTCCAAAATATAAGCTAGTCTTCTCCACAAAATTCTGCAACCTAAGGTAACTTCTTTCTCCTAATAACTCACTTCTCTGGCGCCAACTTCCTGACTCAATAATCATCAGTGAATAACTAAACTGATTTATTTTAAATTCTTTCAACAGCTCATCTGGAATCAATGTATCTTTATTGTGATTCCAGCTGCTTCCAGGTAACCCCTTTTTATAAAAAAAAATGACCCGTTTCCTGTTGTTCTTCCTGCAAGGATACCATGTCGATAATTGAGTTACCTGGAGCTGTACCATCATTAAGCCTGAAACTTCTGTCCAGGTACTGCTTCACTTAGTAATTCGAATAGATTCCTGCTTGTATGAATCCTAGATAGACTTACATCTCCCTTAGCTTTAACTCCAAAACTACTTTCTCGCAATATGTTTGAAACGTGACCCAAGTCTTCAACCTGAAGTTCTTTGTCGGGACTATCTTCTTTTGTTTCACCATGCTCAATTTTCACGTCTTTATTTTCTACCAGCTCTTCGATGAAGTGATGTCTTATATCAATGTGCTTTGTTCTCCGATGCTGAAATGATTTCTTAGATATATCAATTGCACTTTTGTTGATTTAACTCCATGATCTTCAGCCATTTGCAGGTTATCTCTTGCATTCAAACATTCACCAAAGGAGTTCCACATGTAGCAGTTGTTGCCATCTTTTAAACCTCTAAAGAGAGTATTCCCATTGCTATCTACACCTGAACACTTAGTCCTTGTGAAAAGAACCTCGAAACCTTGACCACATAATTGTTCAACACTGATCAGGTTTGCGTTTAATCCTTCAACAAAGTAGACATTTGTTAAAGATAGTTGATCAACTCTTTCCATCACACTTTTGCCTTTAATGCCTCCTTTAACATCATCACCAAACGTTACTTTGTCTTTGGTGATTGTTTTAGAACCAGACAAGCAGTTTTTCTTTCTTGTCATATGTGTTGAACATCCACTATCAAAGTACCATCATTCAGCTTCTACTACTTTTTCTGCTTCTATAGCCATCAACGCCTTAAAGGTATCAAACTCTAATTCTTCCTCATCTTCAGAGTCTGATTCTGGAATTAAATTCCATATTAGCTCTTTTTCTTTTTCTTCTGACTAGTTTTCCAAACTGATGCAGGAACAGTCTTCAGATACGATTACAGCATTGCATCGGATGTCATTGTCTTGTCAGCAAGGATATGAGTTTTCATAGAGATCTCTTGATTTTACCCAGAATTGATTTCCCCATCCATTCCATGTAAATTTTCTCTGTCTCCACAGTTTCTTTATTCTCTCTCTTGAAGTTTGTAACAATGAGCTTTGATATGTCCATACTTGCCACAAAAATAGTAAACTGTCCTTCTTGGTTGTTGCTGAGATTGAATTTGCTGTAATCGTTGTTGCTGAACTTGAATTTGCCGACTCTTTTTCTCAAAGTAACGAGTCTCTCCCTCATGTTTTCCTCCACTAACAAACATATATAAGTTTCTCATGTAGAGTTAATTCCTGATATCCCAAGCCTCTATGCGTTTTTTCAGTTCTTCCTACTATCAAAATCTTGTCAAGTTCTTTTGTCCCTGAGTTGAGCATCCTAATTTGCTTAAGCTTTTCATCAAAATCCATCTGCACTTTCTGCGACTTCTTTCTCTCTTCTACTAGCTCGAACTCTAATCTTTCCATCATTGCTTTGAGACTACTCTTCTCTCTGATCAAAGTAACATTCTCCTTATTTATTTTAATTAAAATGTCACAAATTTCTTTGTACTCATTATAGTTTTATCTTCATCATCAGTTGAGTCATACTCTTCTCCTTGATCTTCGTTTCTGCTCTCTATTTCTTTTTCATCTTTAAAAGCTTCATACTCTTCAATGTCATCGCTTTCTACAATGAAAGCAACAAAGCTACTCAAATCTTCTTCACTTTTGTCTTCCTCAGAGTCACTTCCATCAATGCCAATGAACGATCGATCTCCGCATGCTTTCTGATCATTTTCACATTCCATTTGAGTATGATCGAACCCCTTGCATTTAAAGCACTTGATCTCCCTTCTTTTTGCAGTTGGACAATCAACTTTCAAATGTCCATAGCCTTTGCATTCAAAACACTGAAAATCAGATTTTATATTGCTCTTTTCTGATTCAGCTGATTTTCTGCTGGATGCGAACCTTTTACTTCCCTGATCCTTTTTTGAATCCTTGAGTGAATTCCTTCACCAACAGCGCCATTGTGTCTTCTAGGTCACTATGTTTTTTATTTTCTGTAACAGCAAGGACGATTCCTGTGTATTTCTCAGGGTTTTCAGCAACTAATTCCATCTCATATGCTTCGATCATCCCAACTGCTTCTTCAAACTTTAGAGTATCTGTGTTTAGAGAAACCCTCATAGATGTTTTTTAAGGAGCAAATTTAGGTGGAAGACATCTCAAGAGTTTCTTGACAAGCTTGCTGTCTTTGTATTTCTTTCCTAGTACTTCAGCTTCATTCGCAATAGCACACATCTTATCACTGATTTCTTCAACAGTCTCATGCTCTTCCATTCTTAAATTTTCGAATTTAGAAGCAAGTAGATCAAGTCGACTCCTTTTAACTGTCTATGTTCCTTCAAACACACTTTGCAAGATCTTCCAAGCAGCTTTTGCAGATTTGCAACTTTGAATTAATTCAAATTGCTTGACTTCCACAGATTTAAAGATTTCACATAGGGCTTTTGAATTGCACTTTGCTTGCAACTTATCTGATACCATCCATTCATTTTTAGGTTTTGGAATTGTGTTGCCTTCTTTGTCCACTTTTGTTGGAGGCGACCATCCTTCTTCAACTGCAGTCCCTGCATCTTTATCAATACTTTTGATTGTTGCTGTCATCTTGGATTTCCACCATCCATATGTTGCTTTGTTCAGCACAGTTTGCCTTAGAAGCACAACTTCTCTAGAGTTCTCCATCTTGCCGCAGGATCACACCCGAAATTAAGCGCAGGTTCCCGCTCTGATACCAATTGAAAAGGCAAGAACTTCTAGAGATAGTATTTAACACATAGATTCCTCAAACAATTTCTCAATTAGATTTCACTCAAAGGTAACTTACAAGAAACCAATCTTTAGAGAAGTTATAAGTATCTCTAAAAAAATATCTAATATTCCCAATTTGAATTGCTTTACAAGAAAACCCAAAAACCCTTTTAGTTTTAGAAAACTCAAATTCTTAATCTCTAATTTCTAAAGAAACCATCAACATCTATTTATAACCATAGACTCAATGACTTTTACATTTTTCTAATCGTAAGATGAGAACAATTTCCTTTTTGTTATTATCTTGTGATTTCCTTTTCTTGTTGATTTTTTCTTTAAGCTGACAACATTTGATCCTTCTAACTGATTTCTTTTTCTCTTGTAGGTTCCTTTTCTCTTGCAGGTTTCAGCTTCACATCTCTTTGGCAAAATATTGCATCTTCACGCGGGTCTAAAATCTAGTTGGAGATGAAAAGAGAAGAAGAAGATGAAAACAAAGGGTAGAACTGATTCTATCGTTTAGAACCAATTCTAGATTATTGATAGGGTGGGCACAAAAACCATAACCGAAAAAACTAAACCATACCGAACCAAAAAAAAGTGATATGGTTTGGTTATGGTTAAACCTAAAAATCTATTTGACCATCATTTTTTTATAGGTTTGGTTTGGTTAAAAACCGTCAAACCAAAAGGTTTTTTCGGTTTTTAAAATATAATATTTATAAAAAAATTCTACATAAAAATAATAAAGTAAACCTTAATTTTTCAATAAAAAATAATGTGATTAACTTTTTTTCTTCACATTCAAGTTTTCTAATTCTAGTTTCAAGGTTATAGGTATTAAATTTTAATCTAGATTTGTTTATTGTTTTATAATTATTGATTATGAAAGATTTAATAATTTATTTGTTTCTCTGCTTTGAAATCTGTCGTTATTGATGATTTTTTTATGATTTAGATTCTATTTTTTGAATTTATTATTTTATTTCACTCATATCTATTATTATTATTTATATTAGTTTGAATCAAAAAAATTCATAAAAATATAATTCTAAAAAAACCGAAACCAAACCATAATAAACCGAACCGTAAAAAACCAAACCATACCGAACCGAAATATATATGGCTAGTTTGAATTTTTCGTAAAACCGATAAACCGTACTACCGAAGAAACCGCACCGAAACTAAACCAGAAAACAAAATGCCCACCTCTAATTGATATGCCACATCATTTTTCTTTTCTTTTTTTCTTTTTTTTCATTTAAGAAACTCATTAGATTTTGCATTACGGATGCTCTTATACAATTTCCAGTTAGATGAGGCGAAAGTGTGAAATCTTTTCTTTTTTGGGTTCAAAAGTATGAAATCCGAATTACCAAAAATAAGAAAACAAGCTGAATTGATGTCAACTTGGTGAATGCTGTCCAAATCTTGTTATCATCTTGGGCCATAAGTGGGGCCCAATAAACAAAAGGTACCAAACATAGCCCTCTGACCCGTAGAGAGGGTCTCGTAGTCTTACTGAAATCAATATTTTTTGGCAGGAATTTTAATTCCCCTAAGAGTCTACGAGTCTCTGCGATGGTAACTGTATCTCTAAGCAGCACACAGAAACCGAAACACATTCAGAGCTCATCTTCACTCCGATTCTCTTCCATTTTTGCTCTCTCAGATTTCGAAATCTCCATGTTTTTATCTCTATCTCTTCCATTTCTATACTATCTCAGATTTTGAAATCTGCCTCCGATCTCCCTCTCTCTCACTCTCTATCTCTTTCCTCTGATCGTGGATTAAGATGGAGAGCTTACCCACGACGGTTCCGTCTAAATCAGAACGACGAGGAAGATCCTCCAAGTCTCACAATAACTCTAAGCCTTCAGTTATTTTGGCATTCTTCTCTTGCGTCGCTTGGCTCTACGTCGCTGGCCGGTTCGTCGATTTTTCCCCCTCTGTTCGTTTGATTCGATGTATATTAGAGTAATCTCCGAATGAATTTAGATTTGTTCTTCGGGTTCAGTTTCTTAACTTCCGTATTCGATTTTCAAAAGATTTGATATCGTGATCGAACACTTTTTATCATTGAATTCGATATAAATCCGATAAATCTCCCAATTTTTCTCGATGTTTTGTGTTTTTTTTCCCTCTCTCTTTTTTTTTTCAATTGATTTTCCGCTTCCGATTAATTTCGAATTCCACTAAAGCTTGGGCGTTTTCAATTTTTTTTCTAATTTAAATCTCTAATCTTAGTCTTGCTCTGGTTTATGATTGTTAGGTTATGGCAAGATGCAGAGAATAGAGTGATACTCAATAATATGCTTAAGAAGAATTATGATCAGGTTTGGCTTTCTTATGTACTCTTTGAAAGTTTTTTCTTTTTGATTCTGTCTCATTGGTATGATTCATTGTTATTAATCCAATTTTTTTTAACGTTCTTGGGGGTTGTAGAAGCCTAAAGTTATTACTGTCGATGAAAAGCTGATGGTTTTAGGATGCAAGTAAGTTTCGTTTTGTGATATTCGTTTATGCAATGTGTTTTTTCATTGTGCTTGTAGTAACACATTATGTACTGGTTTATTAGAGATCTTGAGAGGAGAATTGTTGAGACTGAAATGGAGTTGACTCTTGCAAAGAGTCAAGGCTATCTGAAAAACAATAAAAGTGGTTCTTCCTCAGGGAAGAAATTGCTTGCTGTAATTGGAGTATATACTGGATTTGGAAGTCATCTGAGGCGAAATACATTTAGAGGCTCTTGGATGCCACAAGGTATAAAGATCAAGCTTGTGATTGATCATCGCAAGATCATGTTTTATTTACTAACTTTTTTGTTTTTATAGGTGATGCTTTGAGGAAACTTGAAGAAAGAGGAGTTGTCATACGTTTTGTGATTGGTCGAAGGTTTGTGTTTGCTTTTTTTTTTTTTTTTTTTTTTTCCTGTAGTAAGTTTTTTCATTCTTTTAGTGTTTCTTATCAATATATGGACTATAATCCTGATGTTAATATTTTAAGAATTTCAGTCCAAACCGAGGAGATAGCTTAGATCGAAAAATTGATGAGGAAGATGGAGCAAGAAAAGATTTTATAATTCTTGTAAGTAAACAGTGTCAAAAGCTTTAGCATCTTTTGGCTGCCTGCTTGATCGAGTTGTGTATTTGGCTTCTAAATTTCTTCTGGTTATCAGGAGAATCACGAGGAGGCACAGGAGGAGTTACCCAAGAAAGTTAAGTTCCTCTACAGTGCTGCTGTTCAAAACTGGGATGCAGAGTTTTACGTCAAAGTTGATGACAATATTGACCTAGATCTTGGTAAATACTCCCATCTTGTTAAAGTTATGTTTGGCCCTATCTTTCATCAGCGATTATGTTTATGTTATGAATGTTTTCAATGTGATAGAGGAGTTGATTCGTCTCCTTGAAAGTCGCCGTGGTCAAGATTCTACTTACATTGGGTGCATGAAGTCTGGCGAAGTTGTTGCTGAAGAGTTCGTATCATACTCTTAACTTTCTTAAACTCGCGTGCCTTTGATAATATATGCAAACTGTATTAATTTCCATCTACATGTGTCTTTGGTGTACAGGGGAGGGCAATGGTATGAGCCAGAATGGTGGAAGTTCGGAGACCAAAAATCGTAAGTGAATTGAAAATATTATTTACTTCAACTTCTTGTTTTGTATGAAAAAGCTATGATGTAACTCATATTATATGTAGGTACTTTCGTCACGCAGCTGGTTCGCTTATAATACTATCGAAGAATCTGGCTCAGTATATAAACATAAACAGGTTAAGCTCAGAATCTTAAATTCCTTATGTAGAGTTCACACTCATGACGACGTTTTCTTCTCTTGGATATATAAAATGCAGTGGATCATTGAAGACATATGCATTTGATGATACCTCTATAGGATCTTGGATGATTGGTGTTGATGCAACTTATATTGACGACAACCGCCTTTGTTGTAACAGTATTAGACAAGGTATGTATGCTTAATTCTATAAACATTTATTTTAACTGTGTGATTAAAGTATAAGCTTGATGAATCTGATTATTCTCTGTTTTTTTTTACAGATAAGGTGTGTTCTGTGGCTTGATCAAAAGACTCTAACAGTCTCTTCCAACAAAACTCTTTGGTGTAATCATGGCGCTTCTGATATGTTATTGGAAAGTTGTTTTTGTGGGTATCATCAGCCATTATTTCACAGCTAATATAGGAATTTTAGCTACGAAAAAAAGGAAAAGAACATTATAATTAAGTTACAACTGACCAAAAATAGTAGAATTGGTTTAATTCCATCCCAGCTTTGAACTATAGTTTGAGTGATGGAGTGACTTATATTGGAACTTCTCAATGAAAAATACTTGCTTTCTCTTGTTCTCTTGTTTGTTGTCCGTTAATTTAGCAAGAATAACCATAGATAAATCTATATATTAAAGCCACTAACCATATTACAAGTATGACTATAATATACTTTGTAGTTATGTATTAAATTTAAAACTGTCTTTAATTACATTAGTGTTCTATATTGTAAAAACAAAATTTAAAAATAAATACTATTTTCAATGGCATGTATATAGGACATATGTGTGTTCAAATTTTTTGATATAATAATTGTATTAGCGTTATATTTTATAAAAATATGTTTAAAATAATGTAAATAGTATAGAATGATTGTATGTTGAGTTGTTTCAAGTATTGTTAATCTTGTTAGACGTATTAATGTTTGTTTTCAAAACCAAAAAAAAAGAAGTATTAGTGTTTCATTCTATTTTTTTGTCATATATTATTATTAAATATTTAAAATGAAATATAAGATATAATATAAGTGTAGAAGTTGGCAGAACAACAACGGAATGTTCCAGAAACAAAATCTAAAAGAGAAAAATTAAATTGGCGGAAAATAAAATTTTTCTCAAAACAAAAACCACAGTTTTCACAAAACAAATTTAACTAAAATCCAAACATAGTATTAACATCAAAATCTGCAAATTTTCAGAATTTCAGAGAGTTTATGAATGTGATTTACTGTTGTTGCTCACGAGGCGGATACACGTTGGAAAAGTGGTGGCACGTGGTCTATACTCTTTTCTTTTTAGCAGTTAGATATATGTTCAATTGTTATTTGAGAAATAACACTCAATAACTATATTGGAGATAAAATTAATGAACTAACCATAACAAACACATGGCTAGAATATTTAGTGTATAATTATAATATTATCGAAAATGCCTCTATTAACTATTTTATTGTTAGAAAAAATAAATAATATAAAATTTCATACTATTTTATCATTATGCAACATGTACTCTATACTATTTTGTAATCTTTTATATACTATATTTTGTATTTATCTTGTAAAATAGTATAAATATGTATGCTGAAAAAAATAGTATATAACAGATTACAAAATTGTATAGAGTACATGTTGCATAATGATAAAATAGTACGAAATTTTATATTATTTATTTTTTCTAACAATAAAATAGTTAATAGGGGTATTTTCGTCCAAAGTTATGTAAGTTAGGGTTTTTGGTTATTTTCTTTATTTTTAATTCTTTATGGCTATATTCTTAATTTTCAACTTCAATATAGTTATTTAGTAAATTAACCCTTGTTGTATATGGTAAATACCCAATATTAAATGTCCATTCAAAGATATAAAAATAAATCAAGCTATATGTCAATAACATTATGTTTTTTTTTTGACAGCAAAAGCACCATATATTAAATTTAACTGCCAGATATACTGGGCTCGAAAGCCAGTCACTCTGGAAAAATTGAGTCTACATGGGAAAATATTAAACCACGAGCTTGAGCATCTTTTGCCAGACGATCAGCCCGGATATTTCGAGAGCGTGGAATAAAGATGATGGAAAGATCCTGAAAATTTGGGCGCAAAAACTCCAATTCTTCCAGTTCTGTCGATAAAGACGGCCATTCCTACTCCTCTTCGATTAGTTTGACTAGTTGTTGGCAGTCTGTCTCAATCATCAATCCATGTAAGTGCATGGGGGACAATACTCTCATTGCCCACAGGAGGGCTTCGAATTCAGCATGTAGAGGAGAGAGGGTTTGTTCAACCGCCATAAGACCGAAGAGACGACTGCCATCATCCATCTCAAAGATTAGGCCCCCGCCTATTGTATTCCCTTCCTTAACCCAGAAGGCATCAACTTGGCATCTCGGGTACGTGGGTCTAACATTAGTGAGGCTTGTCAAAGTATTTTTTCCTTGACGCTCTGGTTCCTGGTTGGTATTTGGGGCTCCTCCAGTTATCGAGTCTTGTTGTGCCACTTTCTAGGCTTCCGCTTCCTGTAAGGCTATCTCCAGGGTATCTGTTGGGTCTATATTTTTGTTGTTGAAGACCTTTTCATTCCTGGCCTTCCATGTAAACCATAGTATCTAAGGAAAGGCTTCCACAAACTTTGCAGCATCTCCTTGTGTTGAGACCCGGAATAGGAGATAAGCAAGGCTTTGGGATAATATTGAACACGGGGAGACACCCGGAGGGGATGGGATCGCACTTAGTGCCCGCGTTTGAAGCGCTGGAGGGCATTCAAAGAGTACATGGTTGATCGACTATATCTCTACTCCACATCGCTGGCATTGGCTATCTGTCCCAAAATGGTGATTCACTACTTGACTACTAGTGGCCATATATCCGGATAAGGCTTGCCACAGGAAGTGTTTAATCTTCTGGGGGGTCTTTAAAGCCCATACTTTACTCTTTAGGGGGTTCAGGCTTGGCTCTATGACCGGTTGTATTCCCCTTTCATCTCTCATTTGAATTGCCCACTCATATCCAGTCCTTACCGAGTACATACCAGAATGTGAAGAGGCCCACACCAATCTATGAGGCTTATTTGCTCTACTAGGTTTGATGCTCTTTATACGCGGAATGTCTTCCGGATCAATCAACTCATCGAGGAGTTCCTGGCGCCATCTAGATGTGGTTGGATCTATCAGGTGGTGTATATACAGATCTGGGTCTCTCCTTCCTCCTATATCAAGAGCTGGTCTTGGTGGGCAGACCGGGATCCAGTTATCATACCATACACATGTACTGATCCCTGAGTTTATTGCTTTTCTCATGCGTTTTTGGAGGAGCTCTTTTGCTGCCATGATACTCCTCCATCCATAAGACGGGTTGTTTGCCTTACCAATCTCCATAGGAGTCGAGTATCGGTAATATCTCGCTCGTACGACTCTCACCAACAGAGATGAAGGATAGTGGAACAGTCTCCATAGTTGTTTTGCTAGTAGCGCCAAATTAAAGCATTTTATGTCCCTGAATCCCAGACCGCCTTTGTCTTGGCTTACACAGATTTTTTCCCAAGCCACCCAATGCATTCCTTTATTATTCTGCTTTGTACTCTACTAGAATCGGGCTATAGCTCCATTAAGCTTCTTTAGTATATTTTGTGGGAGAAGGAAGCAAGACATGACATAAGTAGGTAGGGCCAGGGCTACCGACTTAATCAGAACTTCCTTCCCCCCTTTTGAGAGCAGTTTGGCTGACCATGCATTGATCCGGGCTCTCAGTCTGTCTTGAATAAATGCAAAAACTTGCTTTTTGGATCCACAAATCTTTTCTGGTAGCCCCAGATACATTCCCATACCGCCTTCTTTTGAGATGCCTAGTGCCTGTTTTACCTCCGCCCTTTTCTTTGTTGGGACTTTACTCCCAAACAGGATAGAGGATTTTGAACAGTTTAGTTGCTGTCCCGATGCTTTTCCATAGCAGCTTAAGATTTTCATCAGTTCTTCACATTCTTTCTTTTCAGCTTTACAGAAAAACAGGCTATCATCTGCAAAAAGCAGATGTGATATGGGAGGGCACGTTTGAGCAACTTTAATCCCTGAAATCCTCCCTTCCATTTCTGCTCCTTTAACTTGGGCTATCAGAGCCTCTGTCAAAATAATAAAAAGGAAGGGTGAAAGTGGGTCCTCTTGGCGTAGACCCCTCGAGGGCTGGATATTACCCTTCGCTTCTCCATTAAGTAGGGCTTGGTATGACACAGATGATATGCACCATCTAATCCACTCGATCCATTTTTCACCAAACCCCATCTTTCGCATTAGTGCTTCAAGAAAGCTCCAGTCCACTCGGTCGTAATCTTTACTCATGTATGTCTTAATAGCTACGTATTTAGACTTGCATATTGGGTTTGTCCTCAATGCGTGAAAAACTTCTTGTGCCACTAGTATATTATCCGTAATGAGACGACGAGCCACAAAAGCTGATTGTGTTTCCGAAATAAGCTTCGGGAAGAATCTTTTTAGTCTTGTGCTTAAGATCTTGGAGATGATCTTATAGCGTTTACGGCCTCCTCTTTTTTCATGATGGCCTGTAATCTCATTAAAATCTCCACACATAAACCACGGGCCCATTCTTGTGGTACTTATATGGGTAATCCGTTCCCAAATAATTTCGCGGCACTCGATGACCGGATCTCCATACACAAAGGTCATGAAGATTGTTTGTCCTTCAAAGACAGCTTTGACGTCAATAAGACGATTATTTGAAAACAAAATTTCAACATCAAAAGAATCCATATAAAAAAGAGCTAGTCCACCCCTTGTACCTTCCGGTTCCACGGTGAACAATTTATTATAACCAAAAGTAAACTGAAAGTTTTGCATAAAACAAAGTGATTTTTTTGTTTCAGAAAGAAAAAGAAAAGCAGGAGAAAAGCAACAATGCAGCTCTCTAAGGTGTTGTTTGGTCAGATAAGCTCCTCCACCTTGACAATTCCATGAAATTGTATTCATATTCTCTTACTGGATGGTTTCTGGGACACCACCGAACCTGATACAGCAAGATTCTTCTTACTTAAAGCAGAAGGAATCACCTCATTATGAGGGATAGATGATTTACGAGAGGGAATCGTTATATTACCGGTTCCCTGTCTTTTCTTAGGCGATGCACGTCCTTTGAAGCCTTGGAGAAGCTTTGACACACCCACCCCCCTTGGTTTTGGGCTACGCGAAACACGTCTCTTGCTACCAGCTGCATCCAGAGAGCATTTACTGGGTTTTTTTTTTTAACTCTTCTACCTGATCGTGCAGGGATTTCTTGTTGCTGGTCCTTGTACTTTGTAGATGTTTTTGAAGGCGGCGATGGGGTAAGCTGTGATACAGCATCTGTTTTCTCAGCATCATCGTCAAGATCATCTCCGAGTAAGTCGTCATTTTCAATCTCCTCACCTGATTCTATTCCACCGCCATCATCTCGAATTCCTCTAGCTCCTTGTCCGTCATTAAAGGTTGTGGAGTCAACTCCTCCCCCATTGAATCCGAGTCCAGTCCCTCGTCGATATCCATCTCCTCTGTATGCACGAGACTCCTCTTTTCTTTCTCTGGTTGTCTCACCGATGTTGGTGTATCTTGATTTCCGGTTTCTTTTATCACCAGAGTTCCCGGTTTCTTCAGGTA